TAAAGAAATTAAAAGACATAACGAAAATGCGGGGGTTTACGAAATCCCAAAGGATTATCGTTTTTATCACACACGCATCACTACAAACATTTACAATTATTATATATGTAGGTGAAGGACAAGATAAAACAATAAGTTTTTTCAATTAAGCATGCCAGTTGTATATAATTATAAACAATTTGTAGCTACGTTCTTTTTTTTCCAATCAATACGTGACCGAAAAAAAACTATTCCAATTCCTATTATGTACAATAAAACAATTCCATTAATCATGGGCATAATAAATAAATTACAAATATGTTGAATAGATAACAATTGTTTTTTGTAGCAGTAATTAAAACCGTTAGACAAATCAATAACAACTACACATGTGTTTATTGTTATTTACCCACAACATTACGTACGAAAAACCGTCAAATATTTTGATTGATTGAACCGAACGTATGTACTTTGTCCACAACGCAATGTTTCTGAATTAGATCTGTTATTATTTTCGTTGTTACCGTTCATCCCTTCAGAGGTTAAATTCTTTAAAATTCCGAAATAGACGTTTTATGAATTATATCAAAGAGCATTAAGAGCAACCCTCAAGTAAGTCTGACAACGAATATAATTGTTCCGTAAAAACTTTGACACCAATTTTCATCCCCTTAGGAATCGAATTATATTGTATCCTGATAATGTGTGTACAAAACTGATGTCCTACATACGTGTCAAATATCATCGAGGACCACATAAAACTAATTTTTCTTTTCGGTGCTTTTTTTCTGGATAAGTAAAACAAAAATACTGGTATGCGAGGGAAGAAAAAGCAGGAAAAGAGCGAAAGATTAAAAGAAGTGGCTGATTTTAGGTATCTAGGAAGTCAGATAAGTCAGGACGGAAGGAGTAGTAGAGATATAAAGCAGAAGATACCGCAGGATCGAGTCGCCTTCAATAAAAAGAAGTCACTTCTATGCTCGCGAACGGTTAATTTAGAAATTCGAAAAATATTGTTAAAGGTATATGTTTGGAGCGCGGCGCTGTACGGGTGCGAAATATGGACGGTGGGCGCGGCGGAAAAGTAGCGTTAGAAATTTGGTGTTACCGGCGAATGATGAGGATACAGTGGATAGAGACGGTTAGAAATGAAGAGGTATTAGAAAGAATAGGAGAACAGAGGACTCTATAGAAGTCAATAAGGAATAGGCGAGATAGGTTGGTAGGACACCTTCTCAGACATGAAGGGCTAGTCAGAGACATATTAGAGGCGGCAACAGTTAAGAGGAATAGATTAGATTACTGTTCGCAAATGGTTAAGGACGTGGGATGTTCTAATTTTTTGGGGAAATGCGAAGATTAGCTCAGGATAGGAAGGAGTGGAGGTGCGTGTCCAAGCAGTCTTAGGACTGACGACCTTATAATAATGAATCCCTAGATACCACAAAAATGTAATGCTTGTCAAAGATGGAAGGAGCAGAACTGTAACAAATGGGTAACATCCAATCCCCCAAAAAAAGGTTGCAGAAGAAGTTGCTCGATTTTTACAGCCCTGTTCACTCTACCCTGACAACCATTACATTTTCGTGAAGTAGCGATTAAACTTGTAATAGTCCCATCAAGTAGACCTTATAGTTGAGTTAGTTTAGGGTAGTTGAGCATCAGTTTTATTGCGAAGCGGAGCCGCAGTTAAAAAGATTTTTCAACTTTGCCACCAATACTTCGGCTGGGTTATGGCACTACTTAATTTGTACATCACATTTGATTAGTATGATGGCACCATTTAGTGTATGTAACACACTTTACCAAGTGAAAGAACACAATCACGTTTTTTCTATTATTATATGTTTTTTAGTTCGGTGGAAGAGACATTAAATGCACCTAAAGACAAAAGACAAGTAAAAGTAACCGTGAAGTGTAGTACGAAACAGTCTTCTCAACACCAGTTTGCAAGCAGATTCCGTATCGAGTATCAAAACACACAAGTTTTAATTATAGGCCGACATAAAAACAAACAAGAGCAATTGCGAAATATTTGTGTGCGCTTGGTCGGCTGCTTGATGAAGAGATGGCAACGAACGTCAAATTAGAACGGAAACATTCACGTTCCAAGGCACAAGATGTTCACTTTCGGAGATATTTTTTTTTTTCGGCTATGATAAATAGCAGCACTTAAAACCATTTTTTAAAAGAAAATTTTAGTGAGACAGGTTATATTGGTCACATTTTCACTGAATAATATAGGTATTCTATTGAAAAAGACTTTTAGTTGGAATATCTTCACTGAAACTTCGCAAACACAGGATTTCTATGTCTTTATATCATCATCGTAAGATCGCACCTCCACACTTCTCCCTATCGTGAGCTAATCTTCGTATTTCCTTAAAACTAGAACATCCCACATCCTTAACTATTTGCGAACAGTAATCTAATCTAGGTCTACCTCTACTCCTCTTAACTCTCGTTTCTGCTTCTAATATGTCTCTAACTAGCCCTTCATGCCTGAGAAGGTGTCCTACCAACCTATCTCGCTTATTTTTTATTGACTTCCATGAAGTCCTCTGTTCTCCTATCATTTCTAATCTTCTCTATCCACGGTATCCTCATTATTCGCCTATAACACCGAACGCTTCTAACCTTTTCTTTTCCGCAGCGCCCACCGTCCAAGTTTCGCACCCGTACAGCGTCGCACTCGAAACATACACCTTTAACAATCTTTTTCAAATTTGTAAATGAACCTTTCACGAGCATAGAAGTGACTTCATTTTATTGAAGGCGATTCGACCGTATGCTATCCTTTGCTTTATATCCCTACTACTCCTTCCGTTCTAACTTCCTAAATACCTAAAATCAGCCACTTCTTCTAATCTTTCGTCTCCTACCTATATATTCGCTCTTTCCCTACTTTTTCTTCCCTTGCATACCAATATTTTTGTCTTAATTTTATTTGTTCTCATACAATACTGTTTTATCAATACCGCTTCCATTTTATTTAAAGGTATCTCTAACTCGTCCTTGCTAGATGCTAATACTGCTATATCTTCTGCAAACCTAAGCATACTAATCTTTTACCCCTCTATATATATCCCTACAGTTGTACTGTCTTTAATGATATTGATCGCGTCTTCGATGTATAGATTAAAAAGTAGCGGTGACAGTAAATCGTCGCTGAGACTGTCTCAGCGGGAAGGGTTCTAGCCCCTTAGTGCGTTCTCTAAAAAAATACCGAGAGAGAAACGAACGAAACGCAGGACATATAAAGAGAAAAGCAATCTTAAACCACGAGTAACTTTCGGACATTTCTCTAATTCGTTCCGACTTCTCAATGTACTACTTTTTGAGGTCATTAAGAGTTAAAAACTCATTGACCAGCCCGTCTAGCAACTTATCACAGTTTGATATTCATTTGACACATTTGAATAAAGAAATTGAATAAAGAGTAATGATATTTTAGTAGTAAAAACCGCCAACTCGTGGTTTGTCATCAAAAATCCTTTAAAATTCGAATTGATAACAACAGATTTTGCAAATACGTATTTAGCAAAGTTGCGTAGCAATAGGCCGATTCAAAAACTTTTTCGTATTCTTCAATCAGGTTCAGGGTAGACCTGCCGAAGTTTGAACAGTAATTAGCAAGATTTCATATTTTTGAATTGATAGTAATAGTTAATGTGTAGTTTGATATAAATTCTGTATTCATAAATGTGTTTTTCCACAATAAAAATAACGATTTTCATCTGCTACTTCCAAAAACAAAATTTACGAGTCACTTGTTCGGACAATCAACAAAATATTGCGTAAATTCCCAATAATAAGATCCGACCTCATGGTTCATAGTGTCTGCGCCTGGCGGGTTGTATTTTCTCTTCAATCCCACGGTAATACATCCGTTGCCAACAAAATTCTCTATATAACAGCAACAGCTGTCTGTGGTGTTTAACAGAAAAGCCCGCGAAAAACATTCGCAGAAAAAAAACAACGAAAATCAACAATGTAAAGGAAGTGCCAAAACGGATAAGTATCGTGGTAGTAAATTGACATATTTTATATCAGACAGTCATCATATTTGAATTTGAACAAAAACTGCACAAATAATATAACGACGATAATAGACAAACTGATTGGATCTATATGTTTCTGTTAAAAATTCTCGTTGAAGATTATTTTAGAGCGATATTTGTCTTTTATTTGGAAATAATCAATTACTAGTTTTGGACAAAGGACTTTCGGGTGTCCTCTCGTATGCTACTGCCTAAAATATCAAAGGAATAAAAATGACCTTCAGAAAGACTGATCTTTTAGGAAAAAAAGAATGTCGAGACCCCATTTACGTTTATAAGTAGAATCATGACAGTCAAATTTGTATAATATTTTAGTAGTAAATCGCCATGTTAAATTGTAGTATTCAAATGTTTTTCTTCAAGAACTTCCACTAATTAAACTAAGAACGTACAACAAATACAATCACGTAGTAATACTTAAGTGAGCTCAAATCGCATCGGTCTTATTATATCTAACGCATCGACATTATTCAATCATCGAATATTTTCTCTTATTTTACGTTTATTTACATTTACTTATGATTTATAAAATAAGAGGCCTTGCAATCTAGCAACCTTCGATCATCGATCCCAATCGACCGTCAGATCTATCTCTAGAAGACTTTATTTTTCATGGGATAAATATTATATATACCGACTTACTTGCAAGTAGTATTTTCAAAACTAAAAAACTTTTTATAGGCTCGAATTACCATTTTTCGCTTAAGCAAATAAAATTTTTCGATTCGGGATATATCCCTAGAAAATAATCGTTGTCGGTAGCAGGTTGACTAAGTGCAACGGAATTCGCGTTCTGGCATGAGATGTGAGTCCATGTTGCTCATCTTTTGATGATGTTTATGTACATATGCATATTAAAACAATAAAAACGACCTTCGGATTTACAATCGATCTATTTAAAAAACGGACATTTTTGTAAAGTATTTTTTTAGAAATTTACTAGAAGAAACGAAAAATTAATGTTATTCTTGTTTTCAGATTATAATCTAATTAAAAAATGCCTGCGGGAAAGCCTGATACAACGGTAAAACGCGAGACATTTCGACCACCTTGGGTTAAAGATGGTCCTGATGGACTACCACCAAAACCCAGCAATCTATGGAGCAAATCGAGGGATGGTGATTCACCNATTTATTATCGGGGCTTTTGTTCGGTGATATTTAGTCTGGAGATATTTTGTCAGGGATATTTTGTCGGGGAATCAAAACGCCTGATACGGTGATTCCACCTGAGTCATCAGTTAAGATTATCGGAAAATCAAAAACATAAAAAACAAAACAAAAGACTACGCAGATAAAATCAGAAAAAAATATTACAACTAGCCTTACAGATGAGATGCATACAAGGGTCATTAAAAAAATAATTCAACTTCAAAAAAAATTGTGCCAATCAAAGCAGCAATAACTAAATTTTCCGTACCGTGCCAAATTATGCGATGCAGTTGTGCATATTTTTATGTACGTTTATTATATATTGCACAAGTAATAACAAGTATCTTCTGATACATGCAAATAAATGTAATGCCAAGGCGCACAATTTCAGTTCGAAAATCTCGTAAACCGCGTACCAGCGGCATCGCGACGTCATCGGGGTGTCAAAAATAGACGCTCGCTATTTTCAACTACGCAGTCATCTCAAAAACGCCGTCGTCCGCCACAAAAATTATCGGAACTGGAATCTTTAGGATCAGTGAATTCGCAACGGGATCGCGAGTCGGTGCGCGCCCGAATACAATTATTAACAAAAAAAAATTCGATTTAAACAATCTCATTTAACCACAAGACGTGTAATAGAAATTCGATACCAATACGATCGATATAAAATTTATTAATCGACAAAACGATTTTTTCCTTTGAACTAAACGAAACCTCCTTATAAATAGACAACCGGAGCCCACTGGATTCAGGTTGGCGCGCTAATCAATCAATAGATCAATCGTCATATTGTGATTTATTGTGTTACCTAAACGTCCAAGCCAACAACACACTGTGCCACTAGGTAAGACACACACACATTTACTTTTCTACATTGTAAATACACTGAGAACAAATCTAAAATAGAACGCATATGAACCAAATCACTATCTTTATTCTTATATGTTAAAGTATATGAGACTCAAACAAAAAACTCAAACGATTTCCTAACAAAACAAATAAAAGAGAAATCGTTGACCACAGCAATCCCATAATTTACACGAAAATTAATTTTATGGGTGTGGATGATATTTCAGAGAGATTGTAATGTTAGTATGTTTACTTCAACACCTAATTTTTCATTATTTCAGACTATACATTTACAATTTGAACGAAAATCTCCAAAAATATAACATACTAATAGAGCACACGGTGACTTGCTTACATGCAGTATTATTGGAGATTTTAAACAGTTATGTTATTTCAAATAGAAGCCAAAAATATAAAAAATATGTGCATATTTAAAAATACTTCAAACTTAAAATTCTGCCAAAACTCATTTGTTCTACCAATAGTAGTTTGGCCTTCTATCAAATCATTAAAAACACAAAACAATACTAATAGAATTAATGATTAAATGTGCAGCGTCTGTTAGGCAAGATTGAAATGGCTCGGTTGAGTACTTTTCCAATTATACTTTTTAGGCTTTTGAATCCTTCTGATAGAATTGAGCGCCACATTTCCCTGTTGTGGTTCATTTTTTTGCCAACACTGTGTTACAATCGGTTCAGAAGTTAAGAACCTGTCAAAACTCCCATAATTTAGCAACCAAAATAATATGCGCGTCGGGCCACGCGTTTCTGTTTTGGCCACCGATTTTGACCTAAAAAACGATAACAGTTGGAGTCTGTCGAAGTTTCGGGATCAGTGGCAGTCCCCAGGATGCTTTGGAATTATACAAATTTAATGGGACATAGACCACAAGAACGCAACAAAATTTTCTGTAGATGTCTCAACAATAGTATAAAAACAAAGCAAATAATTGAAAATGTGGAATAAGAACGTGGAATTGAATGCCCTAGATCACCTAACAGAACGACATTCACATTTTAATTTAAATAATCAATTTTGTGAAAAATTAACACGAAAAGCTAATCAAGAACAACAACTCTGATTTCAATAGTTGCTCCGGTAGTCTCCAGGAATGTAACTGATCATGAGTATCGAATTCATCTGTGAATTTTTGCGATTTACGAAGGGCTGAAAGTCCTTACTTGAGATTTAATGGCTTTCCAAACAAGCGATAGGAAATAGGGTAAAGAATAAGAAAATGGATTACCAGTGTGCTCTATCTGGGTTTGATTATTTAAGTGAAAGTGTAAAAATACGCAATTTGAATTTTTAAGAAGGCAGAAAGTCAGAAGATGCACGAGAAACTGCCATCAATCCTTCAAGATTTTCTAAAATTTTTGGTCGAAAGCATTCGACGACATTAGAACGTTTCTAGTTCTTTTGATGAAAATCTCATCATCCTAGTGATTTTCCTTCACATTACTAACGTGAAAACTCATCAAACATGTTTGACCCTTGAAAATTAGTTCTTGCCGAAAGAAAACAGATAAGAGTTACTTTTTGGAAATGATTTTTAAGACTGAAACTCATTTTTTGATCGTGTTTTCAAGAAGTAAACGAAATACAGCGACGGTGGAAAATCGTTTGAAAAAAACTTGATGGTTACTTAATCAGCACGTATGACAACCCATTGAAGAATACGCTTTCTTCATTGTCAAATTGGAAAAATTCGCAGTTATGAAAGGTTTAATTACATTTAACAAATACAATTGGAAATGTACTTAAAGGCAAACTCTCTTAAATCATCATAAGGTTGTCAGTCCTAAGAGTGGTTGGACACGCACCTCCACTCCTTCCTATCCTGAGCTAATTTTCGCATTTCCCTAAAACTGAAACATCCTACATCCTTAACTGTTTTTGAACAGTAATCTAATCTAGGTCCACCATTTTCAATAATAAAACCCTCGCTTTGAATATGGAAAAGCTGTGCGCTGGGTGGTTGTCGCATTTGATAATAACGCCTGTTCAAAAGTTCAGCTGAGACTTTAGCAATGTACAAGTGAAATTCCAGCTGAACTATTAATTATATTTGAATCCACAACTACAATTCTAAACAGAGAATGAAAAACAATTTTACCAACCAATAGTGTCAAATGAAAAAATGCGTTTTCGCGGTTAACGTACGATGACAAGGCCTTATTTAAAATATTAAAAATTGCCATTTTCTGTATCAGATTAAAAAATTTTTCTCCTTACCCTCGTATAACGATTGAACCTATACTTTATGTGGAAGTAGACATCATTGCATATAAACAATATGCTCCAAATCCAATAGTTCTAATAATAAGTTAAACAATATTCTTGTTTATAATACAAATTAATAACACACGTAGCAAGGCGTAAGTCGATCAAAGTTTTTTTTTCTTCGTAGGAATACCGAAATATTTTTCAAAGTACAACTGCGATTGAAAATAGAACAAGAGAAGGACTCCTGGCACCTATTTAAAATCACCTCACGAAACCTATTAGTGGAAAACAGGAACAGTGACCTCTATTTGAACGTCACGAAAATGTAAAAAAGATACCACTTTTACATCAATTTATTAGCTTCGTTAAAAACTAACTAAGGTCGTAAAAGTAAGGCGGTGCAACCTTAACCTTAATACACTTACATAAATGCACGTAAGATATTAAATTGTAAATAGCGTACATGTAGTTGTTTATTTGTGTCAACATGATAAGTATTGACTACACCTGAAGAATAATAAATAGGGCAGCAAATGTAAACAAAAACAGACAAATAGAACCTATTTACTATTAGTAATAGTAATAATTTTTGGTATTGTCTTTTTTGTTTGGATTATTCCAATTTTTGGATAATTAAAAACCATCGTCAAATAAATATATCCTAAACCTTACGTAGATTATAATTCTCCCATGAAATATTCTGTAAGGTAAAAAAAAAAATAATTTAAAAATCCTACCTGTGGTTGATGACGAATTATTTCAGACAACGAGGCACATTTTCTCTGCTTCTCCTAAAACAAATAAAAAAGAAAAATTATTTTATATCAACCTAGAAGTGGTTGATTTTAGATACCTAGGAAGTCAGATAAGTCAGGACGGAAGGAGTAGTAGGGATATAAGGCAGAGGATAGCGCAGGGTCGTGTCGCCTTTAGTGTTGCCCAAATTCAGTCTTGGTCTTGCAGTCTTGGTCTTGCAGTCTTGGTCTTGTTCTTGCGTTTTTGCAAGACCAAGACCAAGAACAAGACCGCGTATTTTTAGCAAGACCAAGACCAAGACTGACCGTGCAAGACTTGAGCAAGAACAAGACATAGCCTGCAAGACTCTTGCGTCTTGCAGCTAGGACTTAGCGCTATTTCACTGAGTAGTTAGGTGTAACAGTTCGGTGTATAGGTAGGTACGCTTAGGAATTCTATGAGACGCAAAAAACTGTATCAAAGAATATGAAAAACTGGACCTATGCGCATTACGACTAATACCATAAACATAGCGAATAAAAAAATTATTAAAATCAAACTGAGTGCATGCATAGTTATGTTTTAACCATCGGCACTTTGATAATGCGGCATCAAAGGTTTTGTACTTACTTCTCAAAGAAATTTGCCGCTTTTCGGAAGTACATGGTTATGATACACGCGCCGGCGGCTTCTTTTGAAATCTAAAACAATCGTTGCCGCCACGCCGAAATCAT